CCTTTCTCTCATCTTTATGTCCCCTTACTTCCCATTCCCCCAGCGTAGGGTAGCAAACCGGGCATGTACCTGGTCAGCCTCCCTGCCATTCTCTCTTGTTATTCTTGTCCTCCCTCCTCCTACTCTACAAGGTGAAGCTCAAGCGTCCTCCAAATTTTTCACTATGGTTAGCGGTTCACACATGTACAAATACATATGGTGATGTATATTCGGGCTAAATGGCTGACAAATGTCGTCGACCAGCCTTTGAAAAGCTTTGCCTTGTCTATCAGAAACCTACTTCTGTCCGTATGCAATCTCGTTTGTCGGAAGGATGCAGTTGCTGTCAAATAAATTTTGACAACAGGACAATGCGACCAAGCAGAACTTTCGCGAGCGTAACTAACGCTGACGTGCTCTCAAAAGAATGTGGAGACGACCTCGACAAAAGCGCAGGGGCTAAGTCGATCAAGCTAGACTTGCGTAAGTGCTTTATTTTCATTGTTCTGCCACGTTCGCCAGTATTATGTCCAGCCTTAGCATTGACCGAAATCTTCTACGAACAATTGTAGGGCAACATGTTTTCATTAATTAAGGCTCCGATGCGTGGAAAAAGAAAACGTCAAAAAATGTGAGCGAATACAAAACCACCAATTATTTCACCCCCGTTGAGTCAATCCAGCGGAGCATATCTGAGCGTAGTCTGAGTCCGCAATTCTCAGAACCCACTCTCGCGCTCGTTCGCGCATGACACGGGCATTCGTAAACGCGACTCGATTGTGCCGCAAAGTTGTCCGTCTTTCTGCACGGGTACCTAACGTGAATGGCGATGCCGTTTTGCAGCTTCAGCGGGAGCTGGCACGTGTCAGAGCACCAGGATTTACAACCGTCTCGCGGCTATTCATAGGAGGGACAGATGAGTGACTGCGCGCTGCGGCATGTGTAATGCACTACAGCTCAGCGTCGCTAACGTTCGAGTCGCAGGATACGCACGCGGCACGTGGTGTGGCAGAGGAAGCAAGCGAGCGAGCTGCCTTTAGAACGAGAAAGCCGCGGACTACCCATTCCGACTATGTGGGTTACACACGCACGGTCCGCTGGCGCGCGCACGCTGTACACCTCGCTGACGTCGACGGGTTTCGAGTTCGCGAGGCGAGTGACACGATTGTGCTCGCCTACGCACGTGCACTCTACTGCCTTCGAATGTGCGATAGTTATCTCTTCATTCTAAAGTGTTCTTGACTGTCGCTTGGGTCCGTTTCGACGCGAACGAGCTGAGTGTATACGTACACAGTAAAGGATGAAGGAATGACCACGACTGAATTTCCTGTCGAAGACGATGCGATGTGGTGATCGATCTCCATCGAAATGAGTATGCTTTGCGGGAATCTTTTTTGTTTCTTCCTTTGTTTGTTTTCCTTTTATTTACAGGTTACACTTGCCAACGCAAGAGAGTTATAGTGGTGTATGCAGACTAGAAATGGGCGCTGGCGGGCTATGAGGAAACGGCCCAGATCATTAAGGGTTCAGTGTACGCTTGGTCGGGTAGCAAGTGCGACGACGTCTCTTGGCGTCCTTTCGTTTGCGTCGGCGGCGAAGAGAGGGATAACGTCACGACAGTGGAATGCACTGCGAAGTGTTTAGTGAACCGAGTCACGCAGCTGGTCCGCGTGAGCTGATTGTCGAGGAATTCAGGCTGGGATTGCAGCTGAGAGATTGAAGCTAGCAAGGTGAGCCTATAGTGTGGTGATCACCAGTGACTTCATACAATAATGTGTGATCAGAATTAGTGAACGCGAGTTGTTACTGAAGCCGACGTTTTGGCAGGTGGACTTGTCTTCTTGGAGTCTGCAACTGAGACTGAGTCCGCTTGTCGAAACGTCGGAACTCGAATCGTAATATCTTCAAGCTTCCATCTTACCCTGTCACACGTTAATGGTGCGCATTTGTCTAGTAGCTTCCTAGTGCCGTGGAGCGCCTTAGCAGCGCGCATCACTATCGATTGATGGGAATGGTATTCTCCGAACACGTTCCGATGTTTGTTCCGGAGAATGCGTTTCAGCTCATTGAGCTTAGAGGCGATTTCATACGTCACAACATCTACGGGCTCCGAGCTCACCGCCCTTCTAGCCGCAATTATGTTTGTTATGCGAGAATTCCCTGTTAAGTGGACTATCTTCTGCGACTCCAAGGCGGCCCTTCAATGTAGGCGAAGTCTACGACGTGGGAACTACCATCAGGTTGCATCTCAAATCAACCAAATATTTCATCGCTCCACTAACAAAGACATGACATAATCTTTCAATGACTGCCTAGTCACTGTGGGATTGGTGGTAACCACCTCGACGACAACGCTGCCCACTGCGCGCAAGGCGGAGCACCCACACTACTCACACCCCTGTCAAGGGTTGATGCCGCAAAAGAACTTCGTCGCATTGCACATAATACCACACTTATGCATTGTAATCATCCACTAAACACCACTCGACGCCCACAGAACCTCGCTTCATTACTCAAATTACAGCTGCAATTAAAGACTTCGCGACGGGTCGCTACAATGCTGTGTCGGTTGTGGGTCGGCCTTTCCTTTACCGATTAATTCAGTTATCGCATTGGTAAGGCTGACGCTCCTAACTGTGATAACTGCCATTGCGCAGAAATTCTCGACCATCTCCTGTGTCATTGTCCAGAATTGGAAGAAGATCACCGGACTCTCCAGTGTGCCTTAAGGAGGCTGGACGACCGACCCTTTACTCTGGAAAAGATCTTGGGAGCGTGGCCTTCACGTACTTCAGCCCAGAAAGCCACTCGAGCCCTTCCACAATTCTTGAGGGCTACGTCACTGTGCGACGATTGTGAAACCTGTACTGTGTGTGCAGTGTGTGTGTTATGTGCAATGTGTATCCCCTCCTCTCTCTCTCTTTTTCTCTCTGACACCCCTCTCCCACGTGTAGGGTAGCAAACTGGAATTATGTCTAGTTAACCTCCCTACCTTTCTGATATTTTTCTTTCTCCTTCTTTTCCTTCTTTTCTTCACAATCGACCTTAAAAGACACGAACTGAATCTGGCGCAGTGTCGGTTTTGCAGCATCTGCAGTTTCTGATGTTGTGACATCTGCTGTGTCGTTACTGTGAAGGTAAAGACAGCGTTTCCGAGCGTGGCGCACGCCCTTGCGGCTTCACATATTTCTCTGGCGAGCGGCTGCACGTTAATCTGGGCCACGCTTCTCCTGACTCCGATGCAGAGTGGCCACTCTATCGTTGCAATCCGATGTCGCACTATAGCAGGCGATTACGGGGTGCACGCTTCGGATGTAACCGAACAGTCGAACGGAGGACCGCGACTGTGCCCGGTGCGTTATACCAGACCGAAGTGTTAACGACTGCCTTCGATTTGAGGACAACATTTGATTACTTCTTTCGAGTGTCCAGATTATTCTCTTATCGTGAGCGATGATACCTTAGAGTTCGAATGTGAGAAATGGAAGAAAGAAAATTAGAGCAACGTGTTACCCCGGCCCAAATCCTTAACCGGGACTGTGCGATACGTGTGCTTTGGTTTGCATATCTCTCGAAGCGCTTAGCGCCGTCTTCCGGTTCGTCTCGCCAAACTGAGGGGCCGGGCTTTGTATAATGCATTCACGCGCACCGCAGCGTTGTAAAGCTACGACGCCGTACGCGAGGCGCTTATTACTGCGAGCTTCCAAGCCAGAAGCCTGCGGCGATACAGAACGGGGCTCGTTAACGACGAAGAACCGCCGAGTTTTAACGGGTTGTCTAAAAGGGCGCTGGTACGGCGAGTAGCTCCATCGACGGAGCACTGCTCGGCGTTCAGATCGTGACGTGTGAAGGACTCGCTAGTTTTGAAGCGAGCGAATGATGAATGCATCGAATTCGATCGACTCTATTGTTGCATTGTCGCGCGCGCACGCACCACCTGGTGGGGATTACGGGGCTTGCATTGTGTTAGGCATCTATAATAGCCATATACAGCTCTTTAGGCCGGTCACCCGTTCTACAATTAGCGGTGTGGGGAACGGGTTTCGCTTGGCCTATAAAGTTTCACAAGTAAAATAAAAAAAAGGACTAAAGGTTGCTTAACGTTGAGCGGGCAAGGACGATTGGAAATGTGAAAGCTGCGTGGTAAGGGGGAGCCGTTCGAAAGGAGAAGAGGGCAACGCACCTGCCCTTATCTCACTCTGCGTCAACCCGGTGTTCGTCGTTGGTGATAGTCATTTATCGTCTTCAAGTATTACAGCGCAACTTCCGATAAGAGCAGCAGAGAAATGCATGGCCAGACGGGCACTCGGGGACGACAGAGTGAAAAGCGTGACAGGACGAACAGTGCCCATCGCGTCATGCACTTTTTTTGTCTGTCCTTGTGCATTTTACAGCTTGCATTCTAGCATTCAAAAAAGCTGGAGAGATATACTGCGAATATCGCTTGTCGATAACAAAAATATCTATCTATCTATCTATCTATCTATCTATCTATCTATCTATCTATCTATCTATCTATCTATCTATCTATCTATCTATCTATCTATCTATCTATCTATCTATCTATCTATCTATCTATCTATCTATCTATCTATCTATCTATCTATCTATCTGTCTGTCTGTCTGTCTGTCTGTCTGTCTGTCTGTCTGTCTGTCTGTCTGTCTGTCTGTCTGTCTGTCTGTCTGTCTGTCTGTCTGCCTATCTATCTATCTATCTATCTATCTATCTATCTATCTATCTATCTATCTATCTATCTATCTATCTATCTATCTATCTATCTATCTATCTATCTATCTATCTATCTATCTATCTATCTATCTATCTATCTATCTATCTATCTAATCTATCTATCTATCTATCTATCTATCTATCTATCTATCTATCTATCTATCTATCTATCTATCTATTGTTTACTTATTTAATCATGTCTTAGCCATATATATCTCTAGCATCTTCATATCTAGCTTTCGCCCCGAAACTACGTATTCTTCTTGCACGTAAGTAAACCGTGTTCACTTACTCAGAGTGGGGGCGGCCAGCGTCAGGTCGTGGTCCAACATCTGTCCCATGGAGACGAGCAGGTTCCGCACCCGGCGGTCGTGCTCGCTCACGTCGTGGTGCACCAGGAAGCTCACCATACGCGCGTTGGGCAGCGGGCTGCCGTCCTTGGCCACACGGGGCTCGGCGACGCCTGCAACAACGATATAACAAATAAAATGAAATACGCCGCGTTCCGTGGTGTCCCGTCGACCTGTAGTGCAACTATGTACTTATTGTGCAAGAGACATATAAACAGGAGCAAAAGAAAGGCAGGCAGGTTGATAATGCTGTACCTGATTTGCGATTCTACCTTGGGGAGGGGAGATAGGCATAGGGAGGAATAACGAAATGCAAAGGAAGAGAAACTGGTGCGCGTGCACGCATAGCAGCGTTCACCTCACAGACTGGTCACAACCTATACGTTACATCGGGAAGTTCTGTTCTAGTCTTAAACCTTGAAATAAAACTCGGTAATTAGGTCGAGTTTTATCGTATAATTTATGGGCTCGAAAGATGTGTTCATTGGCAGTGAAAATTAGTGAACCTGTTTCAATTATCATAAGACGTCCCTGGAGCGTGGAACGCTATAGAAGTGCTCTAAGCATGGATTCGGGGTGGTTCAGCACGAATACCGCGGTTTTAATAAAATGCGATTGCTACTTCCACTTGCAAAGATAGTTTGTTTATTTTCGCATCGAGCATCCCGAATACCGAACACGCAACGTATGTTATATTGTTATATACTGAAAAAGACAGGACGGGGAGGGGACGGCGTAGTTTCCGAAGGTCAAGGATGACGAATGCCGCCTTATTTGCTAAATTACCTACGCATCGCTTCGAGTCCCTGGCGCGTTTCCGCGTGTAAGTCTCGCGACGCGCGTATAAAAGTCTGGTTTGTGTGTCATCGTAGTGCCATTTGTCGAACGGGCAGGAATAAGGAGCATCGTGCCGGCGGCTAGGCGCGGATTTGTCGTCATCATTCACAGGCGAAGAAATTGGTCACCCCGCCGGCCTGCAGGGAATTGGGGACGCCCAAATGTTTTTCTTTTTTGTGTTCCATGAAGAGTGTCCTATTTAGCCTGTATACCAGCAGCCGTGCCGCGCAAACGTAGAGCTATAGCTGCTCGCAGCCAATTCTCGCCGCCATTCTCCGGGGGATGGTATAATTGATGTGCTATCGAGGTTTGCGTGGTGTTTACCAACACGACATGGTGATCGTTCTTGCGCGTGTTCCACGGTGTTCTTCTCGGCAGCGCGCCGCTAAATCATTGCGAGTTGTCATGCATAGGCTTCCTTGCGAAGAGTGAATGGCACATTCAGATTCAGCGTAATATCTGCATTGAAATGACCAAAGGGAGACGGAGTGAGCTTTATTCGTAGAAATCAGCAAGTTTAGGTGGCAAGGGGTGACATTAGTATATAGATGCTGTCGGCTAAGACGACAGCGCGCTAATTGGCTGGCATCAAAACACTGACGATCGGCGATGGTCGAAGGTACTAGCAAATCAAGAGACAGTATAGACATGAATGTCTAACATATGGGTGGTCGTGGGGCGTTTGCTTGCGATGCAGAAACTTCAGTGTAGGGCTATTACTTTAACCCCCAACGCCACGTGTTAAGCTCGAAAAGAGGCTTCAGTGTTTTAGGGGTGTGAGTCATGACGCAAGGAGTCTGCGCCGAGTGTTCTGCCGTCCCCACTAACGGTCGTGCGTAGCAACTTCTCTGGCGCTCATTCAGCAAAACTATGGGAGTTTGAACACGGACAAAGAAGACCCTTGGGAGTTAGTTCTCGAATTTTCTCCAAAGTCGAATGCCTTTACGTAGGTATGCATACATTGGACAAAAAGTACAGTGCCAGAGCGTGGGCGTAGGCAGAATTTTTTTCTCAAAGAGGAGATGAAGTGCACCGCCTTAACTGAAGGGGGCGGGGGAGATGGAAAGGCAAATGTTTATCTTGCGCTCTGCGTGCCATGGCGAAAAAAAAAAATTCCAGGGAAGGGGGGAGGCATGGGCCTGGTGTGCCACCCCCTGACTACGCAACTGTGCCATAGTATTCGCGTGGTGCACACAAACTAAAGCCAAATTTTCGCGTTATCCCGTCTCTATGATTCACCTGTTTCTATATGCAAGAGGCTCCAAGTCGTGCAAGCCTAATTCTTCAGCGACCTGTTTACTTGTCTCTCCATCTCTCTGACCCTCCTTCTCTAGAGAGAAAGTCTGTATTCACGCACGCCGCTGCTATCTGTTCGTTCTCGCCCGGCGCTTGTTTACAACGTACACTGTAAACGCTCCTTCAATCCGAATGCCACCCGCCGAACCTAGTAGTATCCACGACTGAATATAACTCCGCTTCTTTCCCTATAAGCTGCGACAGATAGCGCCGTGGTACCAGCCTGGAGCAACATCGTTCCAAGGCGAAGCAATGCCTTGTTATGCGAGTTACCGCCTGTATAGGCAAGGTATACAACGGTCGATATGGTTTTGCCGAGGAGGCGTGGTTAACGGGCCTGGCTTAGTTTCGCATGCGCTGCGCCGCATGTAGGTTAACAGGCCGTCGTCGGCGAGAACACAACCCCTTCTGTCAGCGCTCCCGTCGCCTGACAGCTTCTGCCTCGGTGAAGGTGTTAATAAGAACGCTGCGGCGTACGCGGCGATGATTTCCAGATCGAGGCATGCGGCATACGCCTATTACAAGGGCACGCTGTGGCGGCATGGTCAGCACTGTGTACGAGACGTCTGAAGCCGCTGCATTCGAAGACCCTTGGCCGTATACGAGCGTAACTCAATTGTGAGGCAACGAATGCGATGAGGTTCGAGCTGTCTCAATAAAGTTATACCTATATCATATTTCCTGCGTCCCTTATTATTACTTTGAAAGTATTTCCTTACCTTATTCATTAGCTTATTTTATTGTGTACTCAAAGATAACTCAAAGATAAAGTGCCAAACGGGTGAGCCTCAGCATTTAGTTGGCAACCTGTCTAAATTTTTCCCTAAACTGTGACAAACGAAGGTTTTTTCAGGTGTATAGAAGCGCTGGTTTTGCAGAAAAATCGATGAGGAGTCCACAGCAATCAATATATAAGCAGTGTATCCTCTTGATATCACTGTGCGCTGTGTCACAACAGCTGAGTTTAATCCCGTGGGTTCCAACTTAGTTGGTCTTTTTTATCTCCATGGACCACGAATGTTACAATGCGGGCCGCTTAGCTACTTTTCCCAGACTCACTTATACTGAAGTATATGTGGAGAAGCACTGGCCAAAGACATGATCAGTGTTCCTATGCGTTTCACGTGGTTGCAGCGTTAACTGGGCGTGTGTGCGTGAAAATCATGACTGCAAAGCTGCACAGGTGACCTGCACAGGTCAATGTTTTCAACCTAGGACTAATGTTTCCAAGTCAACAACAACCATAGTAACGAAACACTCACTCTCCTTCGAACGCACAGGCTTACGAAAAACCATGCCTTCATAGCGCATGGACAGGTGGCCTGATCCCTCTCCTCCAACACTCGCTTACACATATCAAGGTCTACTGTGTGCAGCAGTTTCAACGTAATCGAATCAAGGGAGTGAAAGAATGCGCACCCACTCTTGTCTTCCAAGGTGAAATACCAAACGGCTGCGCCCTATGGGCGCATTATGTCCTTCTGGAACTTGTATATGTATTATAATGTATTATATGAGGGCCCAGTTGATTTCAGAGCTATAAAACGCGTAGTAGAACATTCGTAAACGCGTGTTTAACGCGGAATGCCTCTCGAAGGTATGGGAGCCTGGACATATGCAAGGTTGCTAAGGCGCTTATGTACGCGCGCATACCGCGTTAAATATTGCCTATAGGTGTGTCGCACTTCACCAACAGCTTAATTTAATTCGATTGACTCGAACTCCATATATGCTGTCAAATTGAATGCAGAGAGTTTGTTGGCGACTTTAAGGGGGCGACGATATAATGAAAGAAAAGCGAGTACTGTGGCCGCCTGTTGAAGGGCACCGATAAATTATGCACAAGCGTTACTTAGTCTACGCCCCAGAGGACTTTGAGAACGCGGCTATCTTTACCGAGGGCTGTCGGTCTGTATTGCGTATCACCTAAAGAATCACGCGTAAGTCATAGAAAGCTGAAAAAAAAAACAAACAATCACCGCCCTAGTACACCGTACACACGATTATGGCCATCTTTTTGAAACGTGCGGCCCAGTTTTTTGTCACTGGGTTGATTGCGATGGTTCAACAAAATCACTCAATTATTGGTAAAGTCTGTCCAAAAGTTTTGATCGGCGTTTGCCGCCCACGTCTTCTCTTTTTAATTTTTAGTGAAGCAGTGATAAGTAGTTAGATTTGCCCAACTTCCGTGGCACATACGTTTTTTTGACCATGGACGACTTCCTTATCGGTGGGCGAGTGGTGAGTCGTGGAGCTTGTCTAATTTATGCGGCACGTAGACGCTGGCAGTAGTCGCACGCGTAGGGCGAAAGAGTCTTGGTTTCGTCTATAGCCATATACAACTCGCTTGTATATTAAGGAGCGAGGAATAAACCATGCATTGTCAAATTAACATGCCTCTAGCTGCATGCATGCCGGTGTAGATGTTACAGTTCGCGCCTGCGGCAAATGTTCCTGACGTTTTCCCAGCGGACTAATTCAAATTAAAACTTTAATTACCACCAGACAAAAACCTGAAGTTTGTCAATGCTGTAAAGCTCCAGGAACGGTTTGACAAAGGCCCTTGGCGACGTGCGCACACTTTCTGATTTGGCATCTCATTTAATCTCTACGAGGGGGGAAATCCTGAGCGAACACCGCCGTTCGTGGGGGTAAAATACCCCCGTATGTCTAAGCAAACAGCATTGATTACAGTTATACAGTCCTGATCGTGGTCTAGAAAGCACATACTTCCGTCTAGTGCTCGTGGCAGCATCACGTATGAGATGTATCTCCAATCAGACGACGTCGAAGTTTGCCCGGCAACAGTCCGTCGCGAAGCCAGTTTAGGCGAAGGCATTAAAATACAGGTGGCTCCGTAACCGCTTTACATCCGACCAGCGCACTCCGTGGCTGAAGACCCCTCATTACGGTTTGCGTTTGCGATGCTATACCGCTTCGGTCATCACCGTCCCTTCTATATGGCGACACCTTTTCTCGA